GTGAGAGAAGGAAGACAGGATAAAAGACATGCTGTGGAAGAGAGACAGAGATTAATAACAAGTATGATTTAATGTAGAGATCTCTATTAACACATAGTGATTGAGAAAGATGACTGAAGAAGAAATTAATGCATCACGGGAATCCCCCAGTTTTAAGCCTAATCTTAAAAGTAGAGCTAGTGTTTGTCTACTGCATCCAAACTGGAAGTCAAGTCAAGTCAAGTGGCTTTATTGTCATTTCAACTATGTGCAGAAGTACAATACGCAGTATGTACAACATTCCTCCAAGACTGTGGTGCTACATATAACATGTAACAGACAATCAACACGGGGCTACATAGAGGGCAAGTGTGCAAAAATTGAAAAAAACAAAAAACAAAACAAGACAAAGACAGTGTAACACCAGAAAAACAAAATGATACAGACACATGACAGTGCAGACACAGAAAGTGTGACAATGCCAGTGGGTTGTGCAAAAGACTGAGCATTCTGCAAAAATTTGCTCCTCTGGGCTTCCTCACCAATACGTCATTCTGAGCATCAAACCGTGCATAGAAGTTGTTCAGTGCATCTGGTAGCAAGGCGTCACCATCAACGCCAGGTGTCTTCTTCTTGTAGTTGCTGATGGCCTTGATGCCCTGCTACATGCGACTGTCTAGGAAGTGGCCATGGATTCTTCTGCCGTGTACTTGCTTTGCTGCACTGATGTCTTGAGACAGTTTGGCACTCACTGTTCCCAGGGCAAACAAACAAATGAACCACAAAGCTGTCAGTAAACCATTTTATGCCTTACCAAGTATCCAGAAATCTTGGGAAAAGGTCCAAGAAGCTGTGGCTGGATCTTGAATCACTTTTTACCTATGTTGAAATGTCACCTTCATTTTCTCTTTGACAAGTTTCATGTCAGTTGAGTGCCTCATCACTGACATAGCTTCCTTGCAGTCATCACCTCACAACTGTCTCGCATTTGAACACAAGTTGTGAAGAATTTTGGGGCTGTCTTGAAAAGCTGACCTTGGTTTCTTTATCTCTTCAGTAGAGTTGCGCTGCACAGTTTTCAATCTCCATGCCAGGTAACCAGAACCACTCTGGTGATCATAGAAATGTTCCTATCGAATTATGAGCAAGAGAGAAATTTGTTCCGTATTGATTACTTGTTACCCTACACTGTTTGTAGCAAGTTTTGGATACTGAAGAAAACTCCTTCCTGACTGTTGGGATTGTTCAGTGATACATGTCAA